CCCCCCCCCCCCCCCCCCCCGAGATGACCTTCGATTTTCTAATACAACTAGTATTCTGTTTATTGGTGTTGAAGTAGAGCAAGAAACGAGTGCACCCCCTCCTAAAAAAAACCTGGATCCGCCCCTGCCGGTCCAAAAAGACACTGTGTCCAAGACCCTAAATTGCGAAATTGTATAGCCTGTTTAAGACTTAAGACCCTGAAAACCATACCTTGTTCAGCAGCACATACCCGTTTAAGCTCTTCGCTGAGAGCTTAAGCCCGGTGCAAACGGACGCAACATTGTTGGCCAACAACTCCCAATATTGTTGGATGTTACATGTTTGCACACCTTGTTGCATGTTGTTGCGGGTTGTTTGTTTAAGCTGACTGTCGTCATTGCTGGCGACTTAAATATGGACAGGCTTAGACCTGGGAGCGCAGACGGGAAGATTCTTGAGGATCTTGAAGAAGTTAACAGCTTCCAATGCCTGATAACTGAACCAACAAGAATCACTGACCAGTCACAAACGCTATAGGACGTTTGACGTACAATGAGCACTTTGAAAAATGAGGAACGTACGACCCTGGTTTAAGTGATCACTGTATGGTCTACTGAGAAATGAGTGAGAAAATTCGAAAGCGTAGACCGAGGTTACTTACTTTCAGGCGAATGAAATACACTGATTTTGATCAGCTTAACGATCTTTAAGATGCACTGTGGCATGCGCATGTGGGAGATAAATTTCACAACATAGATGACCAGTATGATTACCGGTACGCTCTCTTTGAGAGCATGGCGAAGGATCACGCCCGCCTCAAGAGGAAAAGTGTGCGTGATAAGGACGTACCCTACATGACGACGAATTCTCTCGTGTAACATCATCTTGAAGTCCCTAATCCTTAACGATGATGACCGTTGTGCCCCGAACCTCTTGTGAAGATGACTGAATGAGATAAAAGCTTTGTCCACTTGCACTGCACAATTTTAAGGAATACTGTGACAGCTTTAGGTGTAAATTAGAGAAATACACCACAACAAACATAATAATAAGCGTTTTTTTTTAAATTTAATTCCAAGAATATGTTTAGCAAAATTTACCTTTATTTTTGATCATAAGCGTGCTTTTATGCGACTGTATTCAGAAAACATCAGCAAAATTTACGACAAATTAAAGCGCTGGATAAGACCCAAGCATTTAACCTAAAGTATGCTCGATAATACATACTGCTCTGAAGCCTGAACATCAAGTCTTCCTAAATATCATTTCCCATACATGATAATCTGGGTTTTTCTGGGGAAATAAGCAGAGCTGCAGCAAACTTACAGGCGAATTTTTGCCTTATTAACCAAATTCGTCTCCAGGGCTTTTCCCTCAGAAAATGGAAAGAAGGGCCCTGAAAAGCCCTGGGCACGAGATCGATCATTAACATACGATTGAGGCTTTTCGTTCTCTGATAATGCTATTAAAATAACATCTCTGAATTTTGAAAGAGCAAAGCAAATTCAGTTACCTGTGAAAATTTGAGCCCGATATTTCAATACCGTGGAGAAACTGGAAACAATGGGTTTGCTTAATTTGAGTGTATTTAGGGCAATTTGAAAGTGGCTTATTCACGGCTCACTCGATTCTGTCGAAGAGAGAGCAGTGGCGAATCCAGGAGAGGGGCCCGGGGGTCCGGCCCCTCCCCTTATTTTAAGATTAAACTGAGGCCCGAGGGGGCCGAAAAAATTTTTTTTGGAGACCGCCCCCCCCCCGTCTCCTTATATAAGAGGCTGGATGACCGCCCCCCCCCCCCCCCCCCCCCCCC